TTCTCATTTAGTATATTTATGGGTATAAAATAAAAAACAAATTGTAATTGATTTGAAATTTTAATATAAAAGTTTGATATTTGTGCAAGACTCAAAATTCCAAATATATGTTTTAGTTTAAATGTAACAAGACAATTAGAAAACGCCTAATTTTATTAGTAGCACTATGAATATAGATGTATTAATGAATGTAAGCAAACGAATATTTGGAGTATGAACATGGTTATCTGATATTGTACGTAAATCGTAATTCTCATTTAGTATGTTTGAATTTTTATGTATAAATAAATCACAAATTGTAGATTAGTTGAAATTTTAATATTGAAATTTGATATTTAAATAAAGTCTTAAACTCCAAATTGCAATTAAATTGTTGATTTGTTATAAATTCATGTTAGAAAAATATTCGATTTCTCAGAAATGGATCGGAACTGGAAAGTTATTACAAAATAATTAACACAAAAGACTCATTTACATCAAATTTTGCGGAAATTGTTATTTTTATTTAATATACTAAAATTGTTTTAAGAAAAGTTTAAAGCCTTATGAATTTGTACAACTTATTCCTTGATTTAGACTCTTAATATGGAATTCCACATTTACTATCGTTTCAGTACAACAATTTCAGAATATATGTATATCTTCTTTATATTTGTTGTATGAAGGAATTGGTATAAAATCTGTTGACGACCAATGTATTGAATGCAATCATATAAGACTCAAGCAACAGTTTAATGTTCAGATGGATTAATTAATAAAAAGACTAATAAGACAATCATATAGCTTAGTCTTCTCTACTTTGCTCTACGAACTAAATCCTCAAAATTGTTGCAATAATATTTTCTATTTAATTATATTTTATTTTATATATAATATATAATTATATTATATATAAAATTCAAAATTTAACAATGTTTATATACTAAAATGTAGATACGTGTGTAACTAATATAAAAAAATGAAAATTCATTCACATTTTAAAGTTAAATTGTATGCCAAAACTTTAATCTTATATTTATTAACAAATATATAAAAAATGAAAAATTATATTAATTTGCTTTGTATTTGACAGCTTAAAAGTATATAAAAATAAATGCAAGGTATTTATATCTTATATTGAATACATTTGAAAAAACTTTATATAATAGGTAATAGGTATCATAGCATTTCACGACATTTAATAATAGAAATTTTATTTTTGATTCATTTAATTTATTTAAATTTTTTTTATTTTTATTCAAGAAAATATATCAATTTAGATACTATTTGTTTTCCTTGTTCAAGCAATTACAGATATTTTAAGGGAAAAACACATATTTATTTTTTTTATTTTGTTAAACTTTAAGTTAAATTTCTTTTTGTTCAATAGTTCATGTTGAGTCTTTTTCAAGTTAGTACATCTAGGCTTTTCTACTCTTTGATAGCTGAGAAGTTTCTGTAGAGACCCACCCTTCTCACTAACTAATTTTTGTATTCCTCAAAAGCTTCGTGATTATTCGATGACTGATTTGAGATCTGCATACCGCCCTGTGTGGCTAGAGATTATTCTGAGATTAGATAATACTAAGTAGGGCAGCCTGTCGATTTTTGCCGATTAGCTTTAG